GAGAGCTACAAATTTTTTCTTTCCACAACAAATTTACAACAAAAACACTACAATTAATGCCGTAGTTAACTTTTCCGATTTCGAAAAGTGTAGTGCTAACTTGACACACGTCAGAAGTCCATAAAGGGAAAGTTTTGCACCATCATGCGGTGGTGAGTTTTCGTTAATNAGATGTAGCTAAAACACTGAACATGTCGCAATGATACGCTCAGAAGTCCATAAAGGGAAAGTTTTGCACCATCATGCGGTGGTGAGTTTTCGTTAATACGAGGATAAGATAGGTCGTGCCAGCTGACACGGTCTACGGTTCTACGTCGGTGGCTGGTTGAGCTATTAAACTAAGCTTCTTAAATTTGTAAAGACTTGCTTGGTAACTTAATAAATATGGATTTAATAAATGTTTTTTGTCGACAAAATTCTTTTCATATACACACTTGATTTCAAGAGATTGAGGGTATCTCATAAGCTGCTTGCTGATGCACTTGAGGGCCATGTTCTGATATTGGCTATATTGGATTATACTTTATTTAACTGCACACATTCTTGTTCTCCGATCCGCTTGCAGGTTGGATCGTCTCTTCATATTGCTCGAGTCCGGCTCATCAGCAGTAACACGTCGCGCTGCGGCAAAACAAATCNTACACACTTGATTTCAAGAGATTGAGGGTATCTCATAAGCTGCTTGCTGACGCACTTGAGAGCCTTGTTCTGATATTGGCTATATTGGATTATACCTTATTTAACTGCACACATTCTTGTTCTCCAATCCGGTTGCAGGTTGGATCGTCTCTTCATATTGCTCGAGTCCGGCTCATCAGCAGTAACACGTCGCGCTGCGGCAAAACAAATTGGCGAAGTACAGAAGTTGTACCCCCATGAATTGCATGCACTTCTCAATCGTCTAATCGGATACTTGCACAGCACCTCGTGGGACACTCGCATCGCCGCTTCACAAGCCGTAGAGGCGATATTGCAAAATGTACCCGCTTGGAGGCCTGAATTATACGCGGCCATAAAACGTGAGACCATTAAAAAGGAGAAGGAAAGGGACGAAGATTCGACTGCAGTAGCTTCCATTACGGGTGGTGGAGGTGGTGGTGAGGACGATAGCTGTCAATCGGTGGCTACCACTGCCACAAACTCCAGCGAACATAGCTGCAGTCGAGATTTGCTTCAGCAACAACAGCAGCAGCAACGCGAACGATTATTATCGTTTGCGGAATTCGATTTGGAGCAAATATTGCATAAAGGTGCTCGCCTTATCGGTTCCGAGGGTATTGAATTCGATTTGAACGAAACGGAGAGCGCTGCAACACCAACGGGCGGTAGTGGCGCAAATGCAAGTGCCACGGCTGCGGAGCGGTTGAGTCGACAGCGTGCGCTGCTCAATGAGAAACTAGGGCTGACGCAGGCCTCGAAGTTGGGCGTGAATCTGACGGATATGATCACAGATGAGGATGTAATGAGTACCGGAAGCAACTACAATGCCAACGAGGAGAAGGTAAATAATGGCAACTTGAATGATATTAAATCTTTGTTGAGAAGGAAAAAGTGTTTAGGTCGACCTAAATAAAGCGATTAAGAGGCGCACTAAATGAAACCAAATTCTACTTAGCTACAATAGGGGATGATGGATCTTGCTTTTAGGTGAATGTCCTTAGTTTAATTTTTCCCACATACAATTTGGGTTGACCTTATCGCTGTTTAAACTTCAATGGTAGCCTTGCGAAAATTGGGTTGCCTCCATGCAATTTTCTTACGCTTATTTATCATTTTTATCCGTCCGACAGGTGCCCGTTGAGGATATACTGAATATAAAACCCAATTCCAATTTGATTCCTTCCAATGGGCAACAGCTTAGCTGCCGTGAAATGAATCGCGCCAAGCGCAAAGCGCGACAAAATATAAATACAACAACCAGTGGCGGCGGTGTAAATGCGACTGCAAATAGTTTAAGTCGAAGCAATAACAGCAACAGCAGTGGCATGGGAACCGGTAAAAATGGTGCCAGTATGGTCGACGAACCCGAACGCAAAAAATTGAAAGCAGATGCGCTAGAGCGACAGGAGGTTTTCTATACATTAAATGGTAAGTGCAAATAACGAAAATTTAAAATATGTAGACTTTACCTATGTAATTCATGCCCCCCCATATGCAGATCCCGTGCCGGATGCGACTGGTATGTGGATTGATGCCTTCAATTGGCCATTGGAAAACTTTTGTGCACGTCTCTATGTCGACCTCTTCAACCCGAGATGGGAGGTGCGTCACGGTGCAGCGACAGCTTTGCGTGAGCTTATTAATAATCACGCCAGCGGTGCAGGCAAAGGTATCGGTATGACACGTGAAGAGATGCAGCAACATCACAATCTCTGGATGGAGGATGCTGCGTTGCGTCTGCTGTGCGTACTATGCCTGGATCGTTTCGGTGACTTTGTATCCGATCAGGTGGTGGCGCCAGTACGTGAAACATGTGCGCAGGTGCTGGGAACTATTGTAAAAGAAATGCATGCAGAGCAAGTGCATCAAATAGTGCAGTTGTTGATTAAATTGCTGAAGCAGAAGGAGTGGGAAGTCCGTCACGGCGGCCTACTGGGTTTGAAGTATGTCTTTGTAGTGCGCGAAGATCTTTTGACGATTTATGTGCCGCAATCAATAAACGACATACTGTTGGCATTATTCGATGCCGTAGATGATGTGGGCGCCGTAGCCGCATCGACTCTGATTCCGATTGCAACCTGGTTGCCGAAATTGTTAAACCCAGTTCAGGTCTCGTCGATTGTGAAGATGCTATGGGATCTACTCCTGGATCAGGATGAATTGACGAGCGCATGTAATAGTTTTATGGGGCTGCTAGCGGCAATACTGTGTCTACCCAGTGCCGGATTTTGGATTCAGTGAGTGCTTTTTTTCATAACACAAAAAAATTAAAAAATAATAATTTCAACTTGTTTTTCTCTTAAATTGTGTAGAATGGAACCAATGTCCACGCTGGTGCCGCGACTTTGGCCCTTTCTTTCGCATAGCACCAGTTCGGTGCGAAAATCGACTTTACTGACACTCCAAACTCTCACCAGTTGCAATTTGAATAAGGACCAAATTGAAGCCATGACCAGTGCCACTCCCTCCACAAGCTCAAAACTTAGCACAACCGCAAATAATAATGGTAACGCCGTGGGTCAGGACTCTACCAATTTGCCGCAGTTGGCCATTGCCATAAATTTCGATTCCAAAAAATTAAACTTAAATCTAGGCGTCATCGATTGGCAGTGGAAACTGTTGCAGGACGCGCTACGCTTCATTTACGAACGCATTCTAGTCGAACCTCAGTCAGATATACAGGAGATGGCAACGAAAGTTTGGAAAAATCTATTGTTTAACGCTGATTTGGGAGCGTTATTGCATGCCGCCTGTCCGGTCGTTTCGTCGTGGATTTGCTTAGCCATGCAGCCAGCCAGGCTTGCTTTCGACTCATCCATTCTAATACACACCTCCGCTGTGCCGCAAAGCCCCTTAGGCACATCAGCCGATGCAAACGCAGCTGTAACATCCCGACGACGGGCGCAGCGTAATGCCGATGATTTGGGTGGCCACTCCATGAGCAGTACAGCACCGCAAAGATACTTTCTTGGCGGCAATGAGGCGACCCCATTGGATGTTCGTGAGCGTAATGTGGTGCGTGCGCGTGTAACGGCAGCACGAGTGCTGGGCGCGCTCTCGAAATATCTGGTGCAGCCGGCTCCAGGAGTGACTTATACGCCAAATATGGAATCCCCCATGGATTGTTATACAAAAGTGTTGTTGGGGCACTTAAATTCGCGGTCGGCAGTGCAGCGCATTGTATGCGGTGAGTCATAAATAAAAAAAAATAAAAAATTAGATATATTCTTTTGAAGTGCAACATCAGCGGCGGCAATAAAAATAAAATTCCCACGAAAAATGTTTCCAGTAAGAAATTAGAAATGAATGAAGTTTTACTTCCGTAGAGTAGCTTAATTTGTGGTTTTTAATTTGACTGACTTCACCCTTCATGCTTGGAATTCTTTTTTAGGTCTGATCATCGCATTCTGGGCACAAATAGATCCTTCCATGCGCCTAGCCGCACCGAAGCTGGCAGAGAAATTACGCACGTGTGTCATGGAGTATGTTTACTATGACGAAGTAGCCGTTTCGTTTACAAGGTAATTTTGTGAGCGTTTAAACCTACATGAATGTACTTTCAGTTGTATTTTCTCAGGTTGCACCAGGAGGCTCATGATCTCATTGCTACATTGAAGCAATACAAAATACCCATAAATGATTTAAATTTTGGTCGCGTTCTCACATTAGATCAAATAGAGGCAATTGCCACCACCCTGACCGAGGGGTTTAGTCGCTATGGGCTTAAGCCAAAATTACACGAAACACTTGAGGAGCGCAGGCGCGGCTTGCGAGCCTCTTTCGCGCAGACTTCAGCAGAACAATGCGCCTATAATATAAGCGCACAAGCGGCATTGGCGGGTGCCATTGTCTGCATGCAATGCTTACCAGAGAAGTTGAATCCGGTTGTAAAACCGCTTATGGAGTCGATAAAACGAGAAGAGTGTGAGTTATTGCAACAACTTTCAGCGGAATTCCTGGTGCAGCTAATGCATCAGGTGTGTGATAGAAATCCTAGTCCTAATAGTAAAATACTGACTAACTTGTGTACGCTGCTGAAGAGTGATCCTCAGTTTACGCCCAAAATTGTGAGTAAATACAATGATTATTGAGAGAAATTTTGTTAGCAATTATAACCTATTTATGTTTGCATACAATTTTGCTATGATTTGCAGACTATAAGCCAATTGTCATTGAAAAAGACTACATTGCCCCAGTCAGCGGTTGCTTCGAATAACTGCGTTTATTACGGCATTTTAACATTAAATTTGCAACAAAATAATGCACAAATTGGAAGCGCAGGTAGTCGTGCAGGTGCTGGGGGACCGAGTGGCTCACGTGGCCCAGGTAGGCCGCCACTAAGTGAAGCGAATGCCACAGCGGAAAATGGTGTCAATGCAGTAAACGCGGCGGTAAGTGTTATGAGAATCAAAAAAAATTTCAATACTTTAGTTTTACCGCTTCCTTACAGGAATTAAAACAGTTCCGCGTTCAACGCCTGGGCGCCTCTTGTGCCATATCGAAAATTTGCTTAAGCTTCACAGTAGAGATCTTTTCCAAAATGCCGGTTTTCGAGCAAATTTTGTTTGCTAAAATTGAGGAATTTACAACAGCTTATCCGAATATGGAATTACTATCAGATGCTCCGCTAGATTTAGCAANTAACTTTCAAATATTCCATATGCAATTCTGTGTGTTTCCACCTTTCAGGTTGCATGAGCGATCCCGATGAATCTGTACGTTTGCTTTCCACGCACTGCTTTGCCACACTTGTTCAACTTATGCCATTAGATTCGCGTAGCAAGTCAATCAAGAATGAGATTCCTTCCGCTGAGTTACAGGAGCGAAAGATACGCGATCGCGAATTTCTTGATTACCTATTCACGCCAAAGACTATACCCGACTACAAAGTACCGATACCCTTATCGGTAGAGCTTCGTTCTTACCAACAAGCAGGCGTTAACTGGCTATGGTTTTTGAACAAATACAATTTGCATGGCATTCTTTGCGATGACATGGGTTTGGGTAAGACACTTCAAACCATTTGCATTCTCGCAGGCGAACACTACCAGCGCACTATGGACAGAGAAGCATCACTGCCAAGCCTAGTGATTTGTCCACCGACGCTCACAGGTCATTGGGTCTATGAGGTGGAAAAATTCCTAGAAAGATCGAAAGTTTTACGTCCACTACATTACGTAGGTTTGCCTATCGGACGTGAAAAACTGCGCTGCCAAATTGGGCCGTGTAATCTGGTCGTGGCATCATACGACACAGTACGAAAGGATATAGATTTCTTCAGCAATATACACTGGAACTACTGTGTGCTGGACGAAGGTCACATTATAAAGAACGGCAAGACAAAAAGTTCGAAGGCCATTAAAATGCTTAAGGCCAGACATCGGCTAATACTTTCTGGTACGCCTATTCAAAACAATGTATTGGAGCTTTGGTCCCTTTTTGACTTCCTGATGCCTGGTTTTCTTGGCACTGAGAAACAATTTATTGCGCGTTACAGTCGGCCAATATTAGCTTCCCGCGATTCAAAGAGTTCCTCCAAGGAACAGGAAGCTGGCGTCTTAGCAATGGAGGCATTACATCGCCAGGTATTGCCATTCTTGTTGCGTCGCGTGAAGGAGGATGTGTTGACCGATTTACCACCTAAAATCACACAAGACTTGTTGTGCGAATTGAGTCCGTTACAAGAACGTTTATATGAGGACTTCAGTCGTACACATTTGAATTCACATTGGAAGGATTGTTTGGATAGCCTGGGTGAGAGTGATACCATCAGCAAGAAGGCTCACATTTTCCACGATTTGCGTTATTTACAAAACGTTTGCAATCACCCGAAATTGGTGTTGACACCAAAGCATTCGGAGTACGCAAAGATTGCGCAGGAGTTGCAGCAACAGCAGAGCTCACTTGATGATATAGAGCACTCGGCGAAATTGCCAGCACTGAAGTGAGTGAAAAAACAATTAACTAATTAATTATTTTTACTGCTGTACGTTTATAGTTTATACNACTTGATGATATAGAGCACTCGGCGAAATTGCCAGCACTGAAGTGAGTGAGAAAACAATTAACTAATTAATTATTTTTACTGCTGTACGTTTATAGTTTATACTTGAGTGCTCGATTTAATGATCATCATTAAATTTTTTTTCAGACAATTGTTGCTCGATTGCGGCATTGGCGTCCAAACTGAATCGGTCAGTCAACATCGTGCGCTTATTTTCTGTCAACTAAAGGCCATGTTAAATATAGTGGAACACGATTTGTTGCGCAAACATTTGCCAACGGTGTCTTATTTACGCCTAGACGGCAGCGTGCCGGCATCACTGCGTCAAGACATTGTGCACAACTTCAACACCGATCCGAGTATCGATGTGCTACTCCTCACCACACAGGTAAACTCAAATAAAATATATGTAATTTTGTTCTTCATTTAGCAAACTCTCTTTTATCTTCGCACTCAAGGTCGGCGGACTTGGCTTGAATTTGACTGGCGCTGACACAGTCATATTTGTCGAGCACGACTGGAATCCAATGAAGGATCTACAAGCCATGGATCGTGCGCATCGTATTGGCCAGAAGAAAGTGGTGAATGTATATCGGTTGATAACTCAAAAAACACTCGAAGAGAAAATAATGGGATTACAAAAGTTTAAAATCCTCACCGCCAATACCGTGGTCAGTTCAGAGAACGCCTCGATGGATACAATGGGCACAGCACAGCTCTTCGATTTATTTAATCCAAATGGCAATGACAAAGAGGGAGCAAATGGTGCGCCAGCATCGAATGCGGCCAGTGGTGCACCAATGTCTATGAATGCAATCATCGAAAATCTGCCAGAGCTATGGTCGGAACAGCAGTACGATGAGGAATACGATGTGACAAATTTCGTACAGGGCTTAAAGAAGTAGAAGAATAGTAATGGAAACATACGGAGTTTGTAGATTGACAAGAGACATATTAGACAAGTAGACAAAGAAGGCGCACGGAAATTTAATAGCTGAGATAAATACATGGATTCCATTTTTTAAGCTTCCAGCCATTGACATGGTGTAATAGCACATTTTTCTCNAAGAAGTAGAAGAATAGTAATGGAAACATACGGAGTTTGTAGATTGACAATGAGACATATTAGACAAGTAGACAAAGAAGGCGCACGGAAATTTAATAATTGAGATACAAACATGGATTCCATTTTTTAAGCTTCCAGCCATTGACATGGTGTAATAGCACATTTTTCTACAGCTAATGACGCTTGGACACACCACAATTGCAAAGCCCGGTTTGCTTTTTTACTATTACCATATCAAATATCTTGAGAGATCTAGTATAAATAAGCATGCTACTTGAAATATGCAACTTTTAATTTATTTAAACAGCATATCAAAAAAAAAAAAAAATATGCAAGACCATTCATATATATACGTTTATATGTATTTCTTAGGTTTTACTGTTCCTTTTTTTTAAATAATTTGTAAGCNAAAAAAAAAAAAAAAAAAAAAAATATGCAAGACCATTCATATATATACGTTTATATGTATTTCTTAGGTTTTACTGTTCCTTTTTTTAAAATAATTTGTAAGCGCTTTCTCTTTGCTAGTTTCCTTTTTTACTGTGTGAGNCATATATATACGTTTATATGTATTTCTTAGGTTTTACTGTTCCTTTTTTTTAAATAATTTGTAAGCGCTCTCTTTGCTAGTTTCCTTTTTTACTGTGTGAGCAAACAACACACACACTTCGTTTGTAGTTTGGAGGGACAGTAAACAATTTTACCAATAAATCACAAAATAATAAAAGTTAATTGGGAAGTTTGTTATTTCTGTGTTATGGCCACCTCTTCTGACGATTTGTTGTTATCAGTGATACTAATTATCTCAGTTGTAATATTGCATTAAGAATGTGGATTTCAGTTACCAACTTTACAGTGTTACACCGACAATTACAAAACCACATTTTTTATACACACACACATTGGTACATAAATACAAATGCATCTGCGTAAATAAAGTTGCGTTATGTTCAGTGAAGATAATAAAACCTAAAAATTTACGCATACAGTGATTACCTGGAGAAGTATATACATTAGGGTGGGCCAGAAAAAAATTAATTTGGGAATCTCGTTGAAATTAATTGGAGAGATCTGGGATCAGTGAAACGTAAAACACTCGATATTTTGAGATAACACAGATTTGGGCTCATCATATACATTCAACGGCCANCACTTCGTTTGTAGTTTGGAGGGACAGTAAACAATTTTACCAATAAATCACAAAATAATAAAAGTTAATTGGGAAGTTTGTTATTTCTGTGTTATGCCACTTCTTCTGACGATTTGTTGTTTTATCAGTGATACTAATTATCTCAGTTGTAATATTGCATTAAGAATGTGGATTTCACTTACCAACTTTACATTGTTCACCGACAATTACAAAACAACATTTTTTATACACACACACATATGTACATAAATACAAATGCATCTGCGTGTTATGTTCAGTGAAGATAATAAAACCTAAAAATTTACGCATACAGTGATTACCTGGATAAGTATATACATTAGGGTGGGCCAGAAAAAAATTAATTTGGGAATCTCGTTACACATACCCTTGAAATTAATTGGAGATCTGGGATCAGTGAAACGTAAAACACTCGATATTTTGAGATAACACAGATCTGGGCTTATCATATACATTCAACGGCCCTTTAGGGGTACATACATAAGTTTGCTGCGACGATAGTAGACCCGTATATATATACAAGAGTAAGATTTATAAAAAAGTGAAGCCTACCCAGGAGCTCCTCGAAAGTTGTTGAAGGTCGAGATATGCCATAACGAGCTAGAGAGAGATTCGGTATCATCGGATACAGTGGAATTGAAAATTGAACTTTCAGGGGGAACGGATTTTCGGTATTTTACAGCAATAAATCTTTCTTCGTTATTTAGACCAAAAAGTAACAACTAAGCGGGTGTGCATTGCTCACAATTTCCCTTCAGATTCTGGTACACCCTAATGTGCATACATTTGTCTGTTTGTAGGTATGCGTTAAGAGTTCTTTTGTACATACATATGTATTTATGTATATCCCATTATACGGCTTTCTCTCNAAGTGAAGCCTACCCAGGAGCTCCTCGAAAGTTGTTGAAGGTCGAGATATCCCATAACGAGCTAGAGAGAGATTCGGTATCATCGGACACAGTGGACAAATTGAACTTTCAGGGGGAACGGGTTTTCGGTATTTTACAGCAATAAATCTTTCTTCGTTATTTAGACCAAAAAGTAACAACTAAGGGGGTGTGCGTTTGCTCACAATTTCCCTTCAGATTCTGGTACACCCTCATGTGCATACATTTGTATGTTTGTAGGTATGCGTTAAGAGTTCTTTTGTACATATGTATTTATGTATATCCCATTATACGGCTATTATGCGTGTGCGCGCCAGTATGAGTGAATTGCAGCACAGCGTCTTTTGATAAGGCCCCCGTTTTTTTTTTTTTTATCAGCACCATTAGCCTGGGGGCTGCTGATAATGTGATTGGACTCGTAAAAAGTGTTGTCTTTAATAAATGTGTATAAAAAATGCTCATCCACAACGCTAGTCGCAATCAATCGTGAACAACAAACCAGAGTTGACATATGTACTAAGAGTACATCAAGGGTCGCAGAATCCGGTTCGTGAAATTAAAAATACTTACGAATTTGCAACTCATAGTCCATATATGTTTTGATTGATGTCCAGCATAATGAAGGACAACAAGCAGGGCATTCNGTACTAAGAGTACATCAAGGGTCGCAGAATCCGGTTCGTGAAATTAAAAAATACTTACGAATTTGCAACTTATAGTCCATATATGTTTCGATTGATGTCCAGCATAATGAAGGACTACAAGCAGGGCATGTTCATTGTTTTGGCTTTTCTGCCATGGTTGTGCATTAATTTGGTGAATGGGCATGGCATGATGCTGGATCCACCGAGTCGTTCATCGCGTTGGCGCTACAACGCATCTGCGCCGAAAAACTATGATGACAATGGATTAAATTGTGGTGGCATGACGGTAAGAACAGCGGATTGGCAAAGCGGAGCCGGGTTATCAACAATATTTAATATACATATCGTCGTTTAAAGTACAAAACCGCGTATCGTCATTCGGCAAAACCGCGTAACTGACATTGGCTGCCAAAAATTGGATTTGCTCACACAAGCTCTTGGCTCAATCCTTATCCATTCGTCCTGAAATATACTAGGCTGATATGCGATTGCATTATAGAAAAGAGAATAATTTTGAAATATTAGTGTTTTTACACTCTAGAAATTAATTTCTACAACTTCATATACGCGGTTTTGCATTTTGCTGATACGCGGTTTTGCACTTTAAACGACGATATGTATGTATGTATGTACATAGATAATTAGAATAGCCGTTAGTGAAATTCGAATAGTTTTTTGTAAGATGAAAAAATAGTGCGTGAAATACTGCCAAAAGGTTGTGAGTTCGATCATCAAAACGGAAGCGACATACAGTGGCGGGAAAATAAAAAGGAAAGCGACACTTTAACAAGTTTTGGCTATATTTCTTTGCTTTATTTCATGTTTATTGTATATTTTATATACATATATTATTTATGAAAGTATAGCTCACTCACTAACCAAAACTATGTAAGTCTGAAATTCTAACTTTTTAAAAAAGTTGGGAAAATTCTATAAAATTCCATCAAAATTTCAAATTTCTTAATCACTAATCTTATGACATGCCAAAGTATGTTCGACAATTTGGTTATAAGGAGGAAAATATAGAACATGAAATTTTGATGAGCATTTTGTGAAATTCGTCGAGCTTTTATAAATATTGTACAAAGTTTAAAATTTTGACTTACGCGGTTCCTGTTAGTGAGATATACTTTAATAATAAAAAAATAATAATAAAAGAAAAAGGGCAAAACTAATTCAAATGCCGATTTTTTGCCTACCAGCATACATACGCAGCTTATAGAAATGTTAGATTTCGTGCACAAGCTCCGAGCTCCTAACGTCGCCTGGATAATAAGATCTTTCGATTGGTGTTATCAGTTTTTGTATATTTCCTTTAGTTTGCGAGATATTGACTAAATTTTCAATTCAAAGAATTCCATAGAGCGGGCGGCGCAGTGGTTTCAAACCTAAAAGGAACGCCTTTTAAACAAGATAAAACATATTTTTTGATTTATTTCATGATTTTTTCGTTTTTATGTGATTTTTACTACATAATATGCAAATAATTTTTTAATTTAACATGTTTTCATTAAAAAGAAGAGAAAACGTCAATCCTTATTAATTATAAACAAAATTAGGAGCGTTTTGCAAAACCGTAAAGCCTTCTATCTAAGGCCTATTATCGGACCACTCCCAAAACACTCGGTCTTGGTTATCCTCGAATGATTTAAAGTCCTTTTAACAAAATCCTGGGTGAATAGGGGAGTCCGCACGGAGTCTTTCCGGATTAACTGGGTGAGGGATGCTGAAATTACCCTTTTAATTGTGCACCCTGTAGACTCCGCTGGTTGGCTGTGTAGGAGACATTTAAAATGTTCCTCGTACATGTGCCGGACTTAAAAATTTACTACGTTCAATGCAGTTGGTTTTTGCTTTTCTGATACATACATACTCATTCGAGTCCCTTTTCACTCCATATTGGGAGCGCTCCGAAAACGTTCTTTCAAGGTGTTGCGCTCCGCATTTGGCTGGCTGAGATAAATATCGTAAAAATTTTTTATTGCACAAAACGATGTGGGGACTTATGTATAGTTCGATGAAATGCATCATAATCAGTCAAAAAGCTAATTTTGTGTTTTTAGTTACTTAGTTGCGGCTTTTTGTATTCAGCGATGATGTGAGTTACGCCCTTTCCATACTATACTAACGATATGTATCCAACTGCAAAAAAAGTGGAGGTTATTAATTTTTCGGATTTTTTTAACTATCTTTTTTTTTTAAGTATGTTACTGAATAACTTTGGACCACATGAACCGGCTTCGATAATCCATTTTTTATGGGAAAGGGTGTACCTTAAGAGCTGTCCCATACTAAATTCGTTTATTTCCGATCCTTGGGTCATGAAGAAACTAAGAGTACTCCTAAATTTGTATAAGAGCATTTAAGTCGGTTGTTGTCTTTTACTTAAATATTACTCGTATTCAAAAATTTACTTAAAATCAAAAGCCGAAACCGGCCCGATAAAATATTTTGAAAGTACATATGTATGTATGTATGTATATGTATACTTCAGGTGCAATGGAACACAAATAACGGCAAATGTGGGCTATGTGGAGATAACTATGCCTTGTCAACGCCACGAGCCAACGAAATTGGTGGTTATTATGGCGGTGTTGGCGTAATAACGAAAGCATTTCACGGTTCCTATACCGCTAGAGTAGGGATACGCATCACCGCAAATCATTTAGGCTATTTTCGTTTTGATATCTGCGATTTGACTGAATTTGGCGCAGAATCGGAGGACTGCTTTAGCAAACATTCGCTGCGCTTCGTTGATGGTTCGAGTCGAATGTATATTGGCAGTACAATCGGCTGGATTGATGCAGACTTAGTTTTATCTGAAAACTTGAACTGCGAACATTGTGTGCTCCGTTGGACCTATACTGGTGGTGAGTTACATTATTTTGCAATGTAGCTGCAAAATGCAATGAATCATATGAAAAATGGTGAATCTAAGAAAACTCTTCTTATACATATTCTAGGAAACAACTGGGGCCCTTGTGGGAATGGTACAAGTGCTATGGGCTGTGGGCCGCAGGAAACATTCGTCAATTGTGCTGATGTTAGTATTGTATATCCAGTTAATCGGCTAGCGCATTCGCGGCGTCTGAATGAATATACAGTGGATATGCCTGTGGACGTTGAGGCTCCAGATTTTTTTTAGAAGGAAATAAGATTCCAACAAAAGAAGTTCGATGGCATTTGAAAGGAGCAATCTATTAAAATGGACATGCATATGTGCATATGTAACTATAACAATTGAGTGTTTATTTTATTAAATCATCCATAAATCGAGACATGGTCCGAGTGGTCAGTGAGGACCAATGAAAAGCGAGCATCTGTTAGATATTCGGCCTTTATGCTTGTCGACGGACAGGACCTACAGTTTCACGCCGACTCTGAACGGCGATTGCATTTTTATGAGAAGCTGTTTTGCGATGTTTTGCTTTGACCAGGGCTTGAACTCAGGCCCTGCGGAGTGGAAGCGCGCACTGCTTACCACTACACCACAGCGGCTGTGTGTTAAATAGTTTGTAAAAACTAAAGTAAAGAAATCGGTTAAAAAACACCCTATCTCAGCTCTCACTTCAAAAACGCACTATATAAACAAATTTTCAGTTGAGATAGGACGTTTTTTAAATGAAGTCGGAGATAGGGCATTTTTGAACCGGGTGAACAGATATTTTAGGGTTCAAACTAGAGATGAATGCGGGATATCGGGACCCGCGGGACCCACGGTACTGATTTCCAGTTGGCCGAGATAGGCGATATCACGAAGGTTTATAAAAATTTTACAGGTGGTACGGGAACCTAAATCCTTTCCCGACACTCCCGATAAATCCGCAACCTCCACAAATTCAGAAGATTTTCCTTAAAAACGATGTGTGAAATATGCGTTTTTTTATGTTTTATTGAGACGAAAACGAACAGCAAAGCAAAAGAAAATAATCGGAAGATTCCATATCTTTCATTATCATTATTTTTTATTATTTAAAACTAATTTGAAACACATGTGACTTTTTCTTAGTGATAGATAGGGTTCGGGACCAAAAAATTGAATTTCGGGATAAGCGGGATCGGCATTAAATATTTAGTCCCGTGCCCATCTCTAATTCAAACGTTAGTATTAAAAGGTTAGGTTAAGTTGGGTTTCTTGTGTGACTCACTTAGACTTAGGATGCTTTGTAACATCCCAAGGGGTTTAGAATTCTGTGATGCTCAGTAAAAACGTCGATAGGCTCCTAATAGTAGTTGCGATCCCGTACGAGTCCAGACTAGTCAGAAATAGTCAGAATCAGTCAGCTTTTACTGGAAATCGATCCCGTACTCGGTACTCTGACTATTGAGAGGACAAAAAAGAGAGTAAATACGGTTCTCTCTCTGTCAGAAGTTACCAGTTTTAGTCCGAGAATTTTTTGCTGGTAAATTCTGGTAAATGTGTCAAACGATCAGCTGTAGTGTGTTTGGCAACCAAATTGTAAACAAAAGAAAAGTGCACTCTGCTAATTCATGTTGAAAAGTATTTAATTACTTGTTTAAGTGGATTCTAATGAATTTGAAAGTATTTTTGGTTATTTACATGTGTGATCTGGGTGTGTTTGCATACAAAATAAGCAACCAAAATTTGGAGGTTATGTTGAAGTTGACAGAAGTTGCCATTTTTTACTAGAAAGCGATCCCGTACTTTTCAATCTTACTCTCTCGCTCTGAGCGAATTTTTATTTTTTGACAGTTTTACTAGTCCGAGTCCGAGGAATACGGCATTGCACCTAGTACTATCTACTGCTTTAACCCTAGAGTGCTCGCGCCATGAGCATTTTGCCGCCCCCGGGACAAAAAACTGCTTGCTATTTTTCAAACAACACATTTGTAAAGATCAAGCGTTGTTATATATAATAGTAAAACTGTAATAAATTAATGTTGCTCCAACGCTTAGTTTATATTTCATTCTGGCTTAATAAATAATTTTCAATTCATTTGACTATTAATGGCGACACAACAGCTTTTTAAATATGGGCGGCAAAATGCTCACCACGCGATCACTTGCGCTTCACGGAAGGTCGCGACTACTCTAGGATTAAGATCATCCAGTCCATCAAATAAGTAACTGCTAAGAGCTTTTGCTCTCCGTTTTGCTAGCACCGGCCAAATGCAAAGAGCTTTTGAATGGTTTCCTTCCCATTCTCGTGCATGCATTTCTGCAGTAGTTGTTTCAGGGTGCGCCCAGTCTAGCTGTGTGTAATCTCGTCAGTCCATAAAAAATCCAATGGATGTCTTGCCTCCATCGGTTAAGTAGAGACATTATGCGTTGGGTGTTTTTGGCTGGCCAAGCCAGTCCCACTTGCCATCTTTCATTGCTAATTTCTATGTCACGCTATGATGCGCAAGTTCGGCAGACTACGAACAATTCGTTTGCGTAAAGTTTCAGTCATCTCTTTTAGAGCGAAGTTTTCCCAGGAATCTAATAGAAGACTGGCTGTGAGTGAAAAAGTGGATATCATGACCAGAAAGCGTACTAGACTGCAGCAGTGTTGCGGCTTTTAAAATAGTACTCTGTTTCGCCTTAAAAACATTGCAGCAACAAGGTCAGCGGATGGTAAACAATCATGATATTACCATATCAAACAAAAGAAAAAAAAGACGTGGAGAAAATTTGGCTATCAAAAATTGGTGGAAAGGAAAAAGTGATTCGGTTTTCGGTTCGGATCAAACATTTCTTGAAAATTTCGGTTCGGTTATTGGTTCAGATACATATTTAGCAGACAACAGCAGTTAATCCGGTTGAAAAGGGGTTCACTTATCCTATTTTTGTTTGTGTGAAATATGAGCAGGAAATTAAGTTACTCATACACTATGTATCCACGCGTTTGACAAATTTACGCTACGCGCACACTGCAGCCGGAATCGGCCGAATTGTGCTCGGCCAATATCGGCTGTATGCGGGCGATATGAATAAACACTTGTGATTATATGAGCGCTCTCACGCATAAACCGATAACCGAACCGACATCGGCATCAAAATATTTCACTGCTTACAAAATTGTAATGAAAACTAGATTTGTGTATGCAAATACGGTCGGCAAATAATCTGGGTAAGTGTGCGCATCAATTCGGACGGTCAAATATGCCGGCCGAAATCGGTCGTCCTATCGGATGCAATCTGCGACTAGCGTTAGGGCCGTTAAATACATCGACTGCTTTATTGATCAAACGTAATGTGCTAGATCTCGAAAACCTCGATAATGATTTTTAAAACAATAACGAAAACGAGTCTGGTGGAATTACCGCAAATGGAAAGTATCTAGCAATATTGCAAAAAAACCTAATCAGCAAAAAATATACTTAGCTTGCTCAATCGGGTTTGATAGATATTTAACCGGAAAATTTCTTCTTCAGTCTGAGGGCGAAGTGGCGGCATAAATCTAGTACCACCACCACCGTCCACACCACATAAAAATAACGCAAATAATTATTTTTTAAGAATCAATTTTTTATTTAATCATTTCATATTTGTCATAATATATACGTATATATATATATATATAAATTTTGTCTTCACTTTAAATTATCTTTTTGTGTTGCATTTTTTATTTTTATTTTTTTTATTTTACTTCATTCCTTTAATTATAATATATAATATTTTATGCTATGCAATATTTTTTCACATTTTGTATTCATACATAATAGACTTTGCATTGAAAATTATTTTACTTAAATTTAAAAAATATTTTATGCTTGTGTATGTATGTGTAATTAAAGGATTAACAAATATTTCTGCAAATGTAGACACAATTTTAGGTGCATTCAAATACACAACGCCGCACAAATATCTTGATAGTCGTTTATTGGTGTAAAATCTTCACATTAATGTGTAAATTTTAATTTCGTTCAGAAACTTAAGCTTGCTTTGCTACGACAAAATTGCATCAATTATGACAATAAACAATTTGTTTTTCTTCTTCTTCTTTTAATTAACTTTGCTTGCGTATTTTATGTTTAAGTTTATAAGAAATTCACTACGTTCACATTTTTAGTTTTTAAGTGTATTTGTAAATACCAATTTTTCTGATTTAATCTTTAATATTCTTAAGTATTGTTTCGTGAGGTTAGGGATTATTTAATATATTTTTTTAATTTTATAAACCCTTTCATCTCAATACCATTTTGGCCCATCTACTTTATGTGCTTTTCTTCACACTATTTATTTTATTTTATTTTTCATGTACGTATCTTTGTTAAGCTTCATTTGTGCTTTATTTTTAAAGTTTAGTTATTCATTCATACCTCTGTATGTATGTATGTCTCATATGTATAAACCACCTAGACGCCTTAGTATTTATTAAAAAATTTCAATAAATAAATCTCTACCTCAAATTTAAAGTTCACTTATAGATTGAGTTGAGGAGAAATATGAAAGGTTTTCAAGCATAATTTAAGTTAATGACCTACATGATTGCCTAGTCAAATTCGAGAAAAAAAATCTTTAAATCACTTCATCGTGAAAACTTCTCTATGGGCTGCCTCCAGCTGCCGAATGTCTTAGAAAGTAGTATTAAGCTGTGGCCACACGATTTGTACATTTGTACAGAATTGTACATTTTGGCAGTAACAGTGTGGTGTTGTCAAGAAATAATAACTTCAGCTCAATAAAAACTTTCCAAACAACACCTCTCGGTAACTGTGACAAAGGTAAAAATCTGTAGAAATATAGAAATCGTGTGATCCGTGTCGGCGCCGGCCTAACACGATTTTTAGGGAGCGCCTGTTTATAAAAAATCGTCTTCATGAACAATAGTAATACATCCTTCCCTCAATTGGATGCCTTTGCTGGCGCTTTCATTAAGAGTCAACTATTTGGGCTTGATTCTAGATAGGAAGCTGACGTAAAAGGAAATTGAAAAGACTATGCCAGTCAAAAAAGCTGTAGCGAGTACAAAGGGCCACACTCATCAGTGCGACACTTCGGATCACTCCCACTCGGGCTCTTAACATCATGCTTAACATAGCGCCCGTCGAAATAGTACGACCAGGGCCGGAGTTAGATTTAGGGCCAACTGGTGCTTAACTGACTCAGCATCACTCCTCAACTGGTACCCATTTAGCACTTTCTCTACTTACAACCCTACTAGGGATGAATGGTCGGGGTGCAGTGCAATGTTTTGAAAGAGGCGCAGATTAACTTTTTTCACGGACGAGTCTCTGGAAGGGACTTTTGCACGGAAACTTCCATCAACTTTCAATTTGAAGAGCAATAC